TTCTATATCCTTTATTGGAAACTTGTCTTGCTTATTTTCTTTACTTAACTGACAAAATACAAGATGGCATTTGATAGTTATATTGAAGTAACCTAATAGGCAGGACTGACTTAAAGTAATATCTTCAGACAGGAAATAGTAACAGTTCTTCTGATATATCTCACCAACAAGACCGCTGGTTCCAGACCAAAACTCTTTATTAGCAAGAAACGTAAGAATATGTGATACTGTTTACAAGGTGACAATTTAAGACTCATAAGGAACATCTTTAAATATATATAGCATATACTCAGGGATAAATCTGATAGATGACATGAAAGATCCATTTGGAGAAAATTACATAAGCTTTATATAAGTAAAAAAATTAGACTTAACTAAATGGAAATATTTACCATGTACCAGATGAGAAAATTCAATATAATTAAGATGACAATTCTCCCCAAATAAATCTATCAATTCAGTGTAACTACAATGAAAAGTGAAGCAGGGTTTTTGTGTTATCTGTATGCTGATCTTGATACATGGAGGCTTTCTTGGTGACTTTGAGGATCTTTCGTACAAAATAATATTCAGAGGTTCATTTGGATTTTTAAAGGTAATGTTCAATTTATTAAAGCCATAAATCGAAGAACCGCCTCTTTCCTTAAACTTTTTTTTTTTTTTGGCTGCGCCGGGTCTTCATTGTATGAGCTTTTCTCTAGTTGTGGCAAGCAGGGCATAGTCTCAAGTTGTGGTGAGCGGACTTCTCTTTGCAGTGGCTTCTCTCGTTGCAGAGCACGGACTCTAGGGCACGTGGGATTCAGTAGTTGCGGCTCCAGAACACAGGCTCAATAATTGTGGTGCTTGGGCTTAGCTGTCCCGCAGCACGTGGGATCTTCTCAGATCAGAGATCGAACCCATGTCTCCTGTATTGACAGGAGACTTCTTCACTACTGAGCCACCAAGGAAGCCCTCCTTAAACTTTCAAGCTCAGCAAAAAATCCTAAACTGTTTATTAGTCTAGCAAATTTTCACAGTCATTTTTAAGAGGCTTTTAGATAAAATTGAGTTTCATTCCAAATTTTCACTCTCAAATATTTTATACCATAACTTTCAACATAATTCTTCAGTTTTCCTTTTAAGTATTGCAATTGTCTGACAACAAATGCAAGCTTTCATGTACTTGTATTATTTTCACAAATTACAAATGTTTTCAAAAGTTCTCATATATTCCACATCACTGTATAGAACAGTGATGAACCTCCCTGCCCCTCACCCTAGTTCAAACAAACACTGGAGTCCTCACCCCTCGTAACTTATGGGTGACTGTATTTAGAGACAGGGCCTTTACGTGAAATGAGGTGTTATGACCAGACTCTAATTCAGTATGACTTGTGCCTTTCTAAGAAGAGGAGATTAGGATGCAGAAACACAGAGGAAAACCATGTGAAGACAGAGAAAAGATGAGATCTGTGAGACAATGAGAGAGTCCTAGAATGAAACCAATCTTGCCAACACGTTGATCTTGGGACTTCCAGACTACAGAACTGGAAGGAAATAAATTTTTATTGTTTAAGTCATCCAGTTTGTGGCACTTTGTTTTGGCAGCCGTAGCAAACTTATACACCTTGGGTCTTAATACATATAAATATTTTCTATCTAGCTTCAAAGGTCTTCGAATTCGAGGTTTTTCTCTCATATCCTTAGAATCATTCTTAATGATACACAAATAATATTAACTTTCATGGCTTTATTTAACTACTCAATCACAATTTCCATGAGGATTTTACTGACAGTCTAAATTCATGTGGAATAGCAAAGGATCAAGAATTGTGAAGACATTTATGAAAGAAGGAAATTCTACAGACTTTCACGCTGTCAGATATCAAGACTTATTATAAAGATACAATAATTAAGATCTTGTGTTACTGGTATGGACACAGCAAAGAGACTAATAGAACATAATGCCCAGAAACAGACCTACATGTACAACAGAAGCATTAAAGGTGAGTAGGGAAAGGATGTACTATTTAGTGAGTGACTGGTTATCACTGTTAGCCATAAAGAAACATATTTAACTAGTTAGCCATATGAGTTGAGTTGAGTTTATGTGCTCAATCGTGTCCTACTCTTTGTGACCCCATGAACTGTATAGCCTGCCAGGCTCCTCTGTCTACAGGATTTTCCAGGCAAGAATACTGCAGTCGATTGCCATTTCCTTCTAATTAGATCCCTAAAGAAACAAAACCTTCCAGGTGAATTAAGTTTCTAAATATGAAAAAGCAAAATTCTAAAACTTCTACAAGAAAATTAAGAAAACTATTTTTTATGGTCCTGGAGTAGAAAAGAGGTTTTTGTTGTTTTTTTTAATTTCATTTTTTCAAACCAAATGCAAAAAGGACAAACCATAAAGGAAGGTTGATACATCTGACTACTTTAAAATTAACTTCTGTATAACAAAACATACCATAAATAAAGAGTAAAGATGAACCTTAGACTGGAAAAAAATTTTTTCGTTGCATGCAAGTGGCAAGGCTAGTATCCTGAATATTTAAAGATCTACTTAAAAATTAGTAATAAAAAGACAAACATCCCTATAAGAAAATGGGCAAAGGATAAGAATATGCAATTCAGTAGGTTAATAAACACATTTTTTTAAATGCTAAATAAAACACATAGCTATAGCTATATATATCAACAAGAACGCTGACGAGGAAAAAAAACAACTTTCATAACAGTACACACGTTTATCTGTATCATTTATTGTCATTGTTTAGTTGATAAGTGGTGTCCGACTATTTGCAACCCCATGGACTGTAGCCCGCCAGGCTCCTCTGTCCATGAGATTTATGAAGCTTTAAAACATGCATAACAAAAACATCTATTGTTTATGGATATACAAACTTGCAGCAGTCAAAAGCACGGGCTCAAGAATGATTAATTCTAAACTCAAGATAGGATCCTAAAGTGAGTAAGTTAGGGACATCAATACAGAGAACTTTTTGAGTTTATTTGTATAGCTTTATTTCTTTAAAAAAACAAAGCCAAAACAAAATAATGAAGTTGGAAGCAAAAATGGCAAAAGGCCAAGTTTGATACATCTGGATGGTAAATCCACAAGCATGCCTTATATTAGTTTCTAGGTTTTAGGAAGGAAACATTTGTTGTAGCAAAGTTTGAACTGAAGGGGTAACATTTTTTTTTTTCATTATTGATACACTTATTTGATGCTTTAAGAATATTTGTGTCATTTTCTTTTTTCAATCTTTCTTTAAAAAAAACCACTGCGTGTATCTAACGGGTGCAAAAAGATTTCACATACATATACACAGTGAAACGTTGTTTACTACTGTCAAGCTAATTAACATATGCATCTCCTCCCATTAGAGTTGTTCAGCACCTCAGTCCTCTTTGCAACCCCAGGGAGGGCACCATGTCAGGCTTCCTGTCCATCACCATCTCCTGTGCTTACTCAAACTCATGAGAGCACCTGAAATTTACTCTCTGGACAATTTCGCATTCAGTATAGCATTAACTATAATCATCATGCTGTACCTCTCTAGACTTACTGGTACTAGGTAACTGCCATTTTGCACCAGAATAGAAGTATTTTAAATTTGTCTTTCACCCCGTAAAGAGTTCTCTGTATATGGCTACCATTCAGTTGTTTATCCATTCATCAAAAGTTTTTAGAGAAACATTCTCTGCCAGGCTATGAGGATATCATAAAAGAAGCATATCATCATCAACAGACGCAAACAATTTTTCTTAAGTAGTTTGTATTCGTGTGAGGAAGTTCTTTAAACCAAAAATTGGATTTAAAGTGATAATGACACAGAGATGGAAAGAGGAAGAATTTCCATCTGTCTGGAGTAGCCAAAGTCAATTTCGAGGAGATACTTTCGAGGTGACAGAGAAAAGCGTTTGCCAGGGGGAACAAAACATTCCAAGCAGCGGGAACAGCAGGAACGGAGATCTGGCAAGGCGAGCAGCATAGAACACTGAGAAAGATTTATAGGCTGAGTGCGTGTAGGGCGGGGTGAGAAGTTGAAGGGAGAATATCAAAATTAGAAGCTCAAGAGGAAGGAGCGGCTTGATGCAGGCGCCGAAACGTGTCGGAACTGGTGCTATACTTTGGTGATCAGGCAGGAAACGGCAGCCCTGCAAGCGATGAAATAACTTTCCACACAACTTGTAAAAGGTGGCTGGGACCAGAACTTGCGTCTCCTGACTTCAAGGTGACCCACCCACGGTTGTGAACGGGCTACCACTGTGCCTCGTTAGCTCCGAAAGCGGTGTCATACCAGGAGTTCATATTCTAGTTCCTGCCCTGTCCTGTAGAGTTTCTCATTTCCATTTGGCCCCAAACCTCCTGAGCATGCCTCTTGCCTCCCAGACACCTCCCTCCATTAAGCCGCCAACATCCTTTTAAACATCTCTCCATTTCTTGTTGTTGTTTAGTCGCTAAATTGTGTCTGACTCTTTTTGCGACCCCATAGATTGTAGCCGGCCAAGCTTCTCTGTCAATGGGATTTCCCAGGCAAGAATACTGGAGTGGGTTACCATTTTCTTCTTCAGGGGATCTTCCCAACCCAAGGCTAGAACCCATGTTTCCTGAATTGGCAGGTGGTTTCTTTACCACTGAGCCACCAGGGAAACCCTTCAAACATTTCTCAGGGTTCCTAAAAAGCCTGCGTTACCAGCCCTCAGAGACCACAAGTCCCAGCATGCAAAGCTCCTTTTAGGAAAGGACCAGCATGCAACGCTCTGCGAAGGGGGCGGGACTCTCTACAGGGGCGGTCCACTGGTAGCGTCGCCTAGGCAACTCCAATTCGGTGACAGACTACACTTCCGCTTCCGCCTCTGAGTCCTGGGACCGCGAATCTGCGCGGCTTCGTCGCTGTGATGCCATCCGCCTGCGACAGCGTGGGTTCGGAGGTTCCGCAGTCCCGCTTGAAGTTCCAGAGCGCCTTCCTGTAGTCGGCTGCCTCTCAACTGGGCGCAAAGGGAAAAGCGGTGAGATGACGGACCGCTACACCATTCACAGCCAGTTAGAGCATCTGCAGTCCAAGTACATCGGCACCGGCCACGCGGACACCACGAAGTGGGAATGGCTGGTGAACCAGCACCGCGACTCCTACTGCTCCTACATGGGCCACTTCGATCTTCTCAACTACTTCGCCATTGCCGAGAATGAGAGCAAAGCGCGAGTCCGCTTCAACTTGATGGAGAAGATGCTGCAGCCTTGCGGCCCGCCAGCCGACAAGCCGGAGGAGAACTGAGTCCCCGCGGTATCACCGCTGTACGTGAGTACCTGTCCCTGAGTCCCCCGGGTTTGCCTGCATTCTCGCTTGTTCTTAAGTGAACTGATTCTCCATCTCTCTCCTTCTCGTGCTTTCCTTGTACAGAGGTGCTTACCCAGGGCGTCCCGCGTGACCTGCCTTCCTGTGGACCCTGTTTTCCTGTGGAACACAGCGTTGGGAGACCGTCAGGACACCTGAGAACTGTGACTGGACCGTGGAGCAAACTTTAGAGAAGACGGCACTGGAGTGAGACGGGATTTAGAGGCTCATTTTCGCCTAGTTGATTGTTGCTTTTTACATAAAGTTTAGAAATGTTTCAGTCTCTTGGTGTGGACTACTTATGTTCTGGTGGAGGGGTCCAGGGAGGGCTTTGGAACTATGGCTTTGGGGGAGGCGGGAAAATAGGAGGGATAAAGAAGGGGAGGGTTAGGAAGGGGTTGGGTAGGTAGTTCAGGGCCAGCGTTCATTGCCAGACACTTAAATGCACCCTGCATAACCTTTATAACATTCCCCAACCCAGACTTTTCCCAAGAGCTTTTTTCAGGCCCATAATGCTTTCAGTATGGAAATTTGTGATCATGGTATCCTTTCTTTTTCTTTCATTCAAAAAAAAAAGAAAATCTTTGCTGGCGTTTTCCTCTCTGCAGATTGCATTCTCTTTTTCTTTTGGGACTTTGTGGATGTGTCTTGAGACTTGACAAGCTGTCAGACAAATTCTTTCATTCATTCAACATTCAACAAGTATTTGTTGAGTCCGATGTGGCAGGCATTTTCCATGCTTTGGGGGCTTATATTAACACCAGTTGGGGGAGCAGCACACTGCATCAATTGTAGATAACAAGCAAATGTTAGAAGGAACTGTGGCGAATGGAGTAACAGTAGCATTGCAGTTTTAAATAGGCTGCCTCGTGTTAGACTGTTGAGAAGGTGACATTTGCGCAGAGACTTTAAGGAAGTAAGGGAAATAGCCATGCAGAAAACGGGGGAAAACTTCCAGTGAAAAGTACCTAAGACCGATTGTGTATTGCTTATTGGATGAAGAGTAAAGAAACAAGTATGGCTGAAGGGAATGAGCTGGGGGAGAGTGGAGGTATAGCTTATGGAGAGGGAACAGATAAGAGTAGAGCCTGGTGGGCCTATGTAAGGACTTGTGGCTTTTATCCTGGGTATATGGGGAGCCATTGGAAGACTATTAGGTGATAGGGTCTGACACATTTTAGATCAGTGAGTCTCAAGCATATTGGCCTTGGAATACCATTACATTCTTAAAAATTCTTGAAGACTCCCACAGAGCCTTTGTTTTTGGTTATAGCTGTCGATAGTCACCAAATTAAAAACTAAAACTGAGAAATATTTAAAATACCTGGTAATTCATTTTAAAATAACAATAAGAGGACTTCCCTGGTGGGCCAGCAGTTAAGAGTCTGCCTGCCAATGTAGGGCACATAGGTTTGATCCCTGGTCCAGGAAGATTGCACGTGCTGCGGGGCAACTAAATCTGGGTGCTGCAACTACCGAAGCTCATCTGCTCTAGAGCCTGTGCTCCACTAGAAGAGAGGCCACCACAATGAGAAACCCATACTCCACAACTAGAGAAAGCCTACACACTGCAACAAAGACCCAGTGCAACCATACATAAATCAATAAAATAACAATAAAAAGACCATTGCATGTTAACGAGAATATTTTTCATGAAAAATAACTTTTCCAAAATAATTTAGTGAAAAAGATAGTGTCTTTTTTTTAAAAACAACTTTGCATATGACTTCAGTGTCGGTATATAAAGGTGTTAATTGCTCAGTTGTGTCTGACTCTTTGCGACCCCATGGAGCGTACACCGCCAGGCTTCTCTAATTGATGGAATTCTCCAGGCAAGAATACTGGAGTGGGTTGCCGTTTCCTTCTCCAGGGGATCTTCCTGACCCAGGGGTCAAACCTGCGTCTCCTGCGTTGCAGGCAGATTCTTTGCCCTCTGAGTCACCAGCCCCCTTCTTCAATGTCCAGCTTAATATAAGACAGCTGTATTCTTTTATCTGCTTCTGCATTCAAACTCCTAGAATATGAAGTTTTGGCTGAAGTATGAAAAAACCCACTTCAGGACTTCCCTGGTGGTACCTCCTGCCAATGCAGGAGACAAGGGTTCGATCCCTGGTCTGGGAACATTCCATATGCTGCACAGCATCTAAGCCTGTGTGCATAGCTCCTGAAGCTTGTGCACCCTGGAACCCGCAGGCCACAACCGCTGAGCCCGTGCACCTGAAGTCTGCTCCACAGCAAGAGGAGCCGCTGCAGTGAGAGATCCATGGGCTGTAACAAAGCAGCCCCCACTTGCCACTGCTAGAGAAGACCCTTGTGTGTCGGTGAAGACCCAGCACAACCAAAAAACAAAGTGCTTTTAAGTCATCTTAAAAAAACGCACTGCACATAAATATATAGTAAGGGAGAAATACTTCAGTAGCCTTTTCAAATATCTTAGAAGTTAGATAGAAGGTAGGATATGATCAACTTTTCATTCTCTATTATATTAAAATTCATTAATCTATGTTGAGCATTGAATGGACCTTTTACCCATATGTGATTTTATAATATCTTGAATTGCTCATTTGGAAAGTATTGGCTCACTGAATTGTGCAGGCCCTCTAAGTGTTGACAGATTTCATTGTATGTACCAAAGTAATGTTCTTTGTACATATTGTTAGTATCATCGCTGATCTCTTGAGAAAAGTCTTACAGTGTTAGTAAGCTGAAAAACTTAACAGTGATGGTATAAGTTTTCCACAATTTGAAGTTTTTACTTGATAGCCTAAATTTGGTTACTGGTAGCAAATCGTGTCTCTTTTTTCCCTTAAAGTGACAAGCCTACTTGGTTCATTTTCAAGAAAATATCTGTCAAACACCAAATTCTGAATAATTGCAGTTTGTCAATCTTCCAAGTAAAAAATGATGTTCCTTGAGAGAGAAAGAAAAAAAGAGTCCATTTAGTCTGCAACTCAAATAATAACAAGTGCTTTTTCTTAAAAAAAAAAACCACTGTGCTTTGGTGGCAGCAAAAATGGTTTATGCATACTACCAGTTTTGATCATTCAAAAAGATGTGTCCTTGTGGGCTAAGATTTCATAAAATCAGTTTTATTTCATCAAGGACATTGTTTTTAAAAATAATTTTATTTACTTTTGGCTGTGCTGGGTCTTGGTTGCTGCGTGGGCGTTTCTCTAGTTGTGGCAAGCAGGGGCTACTCTTTATTGCAAGGGCGGGCTTCTTATTGTGGGCGGGCTTTTCTTGTTGTGGAGCACAGGCTCCAGGGCACACGGGCTTCCGTAGTTGTGGCACGTGGGCTCTAGAGCACAGGCCCAATAGTTGTGGCACATGGGCTATGCTGCTCCAAGGCAAGTGGGACCTTCCCAGATCAGGGATTGAACCTGTGTCCCCTGATTTGGCAGGCAGATTCTTTAGCACTAAGCCACCAGGGAAGCCCTAATCAAGGACATTCTTACGTGAAACGGAGTCGATTTTTTATTTTGTTTATTTTTGTTGAGAGTATATGGCAGTGAAGAATACAATGACTACTAGTAGTTTGGTGTCACCATCTTGATTGATGCTAAGTGCTAGTAGTTTTATTCACAATTGCTTTTATATCAAGATAATGCAGTGAAAATGGCAAGTAAAATCTAAGTATTATTATTAAAATAGTAAAATCTAAGTATTATTAAAATAGTGTCAACTTCACAGATTCTCTGAAATTCCCACCATTTTCACTTGAACAAAAACTTATATAATGATAGATTAAACTATATTATTTAGACTTGGTTGGATGGCATCACTGACTCAATGGACATGAGTTTGAGCAAGCACTGGGAGATGGTGAAGGACAGGGATGCCTGGCATGCTGCAGTCCATGGGGTTTCAAAGAGTCGGACACGACTGAGCAACTGAATAACAACAAGACTTGAGTATTTAGCAGATATTTTCTCAGAAAAAGAATGAGATAGGCCATCATTTCCAGGAAAACAACTGAACCACTTTTTAAAGGGGTCTGTCTGGCTGTTGTGTTGAGAATAGATATAGGTAATGTAATAGAGAACGGACTGTAATTGTCAGCAGTTAAATAAAAGTATCAATACTGATGCTTTTCCCCCCATAAAGAATAGGAGAGAGTCAAGCTGGAAATCCTCATCCTTACAAAACTGGAATGAGAGTGAGCCCTTGTCTCTAATTGGAGTGTGTAGCAGTAGACCAGGAGAGATGACAACCCATGTTGGAGTTGAGGAAGGGACTGAATATTTAGTATAGGGTAGTTTATATAAAGAATCAAATGAAAATGTGGACAATAAAGAACTGCAGGAATTTAGAAGGAAGTTAGTAACCTAGAGACTTACATGAACTGGCTTGAATTTATACTATCAGGATTCACAGGGACAAGGATTTGGGTCTGTTTTATTACCTGATAAATCGCAAGTGTCTCAAATGGTGCCAGCATATCACAAGTGTTCAACAAATATTGTGTTGAATGTGAAAAGATAAGGCTTAATTTAGACAATATACTAATTTATGTTTTAGGCAGTCTTCAAGTTCACCAGAGTAGGTCAGAGCAAAGGAAAGAGATATTTGAAAACATGCTTCTCAGATAGTAATAATAGCTAACATATCGATAGCTTTTATGGTGTACTGAGTGTTTTATCTGATGTGATCTCTGGGAGGTATTATCTTTGTTTTACAGATGAAACAGTTTCAGAAAAGCTATTTGCCCAAGGTCACCCAGATGCTATGTGGCTAAGCCAGGATTTGAACCAGGTCTTTCTAGTTCCAAAGTACAAAGTCTTAAACATACTGTTGCCCAAACAGGTAGAAAATCACATTAGAATAATTGGAAATAAGCTACTGTCTCAGATGAAAAATGGAAATATTAAAAGTTTAGTAGATTATAATGAAGGACTATCAGACCAATGTGAAAGTTCTTATATAACACTTAAAAAATGTAA